CGAAGCGGAAAAACCATAGTAATCCTGTATTCAACGAAAAAGTACACATCCTATCTTTGCCTTTTGGTTGTCCGCAGGGACGAGCATATATGTTAAGTGGGGCAGAGTCTAAGTTGAAGGAAAGACTATAAGGTTTACGAGAAATACACTCATTTGCAAATCATTTGGTTTTCAGCAACCTTGTGAGAAGTTTCCTTTATGAAAATATACTGCAATATCTCGAATATCGTGCCAACTGAATCATGAGGCAGCCTATGTGCAGCGCATTCGGTTGTAGAATATCATAAACGAGAGATTCAGTTGAGTCTCTCTTGAAAACCAAATTCACTTGCAAATGAGTGTATTTCTCGAAATCAGTGCAATGGGGGTTCAAGTAGGACATAAAGGACTGCGCCTACCCGATGAGCCCCAAGAAGGGCGGAACCGGTCGTCGGCTGTCAAGGAGTTTTCAGCAATCTTGTGAGTAGTTTCCTTTATGAAACCAATAGGTTTAGGTCGTTTGTGGAACCACTTCCTGTAAATAAACTAGGCCGAGGACTTATGTTGAATGTGGTTCAACTGGAATGCAACCGCTTTTGGTGTTTGACTTATCTTTGGTTCACAGTCTACCTTTTGGATATTGCTGGCATGTTGGGATAAACTAGATTACCCTTTTATCTTGTAACATACAGACAAACTTTTCAAATAATATGGACACAGTAACAATTATGAGTTGCCAAACCCTTTCCCGTAAAGGGCCGATAGATTCAGTATCACTTTGTAGCTGAATAAACTGAACGGTCTTTACATAAGTTTCAATCACGGAGTGGTTGTGGATCACAAATTATCGTCATACAAAATCAATGTTGACCGGTCCCACCAGAGTTTCCCATAGATGAGGGGTTATAGTTCAGTGTTGACTAACAGAGTTACTGAAAGATATCAGCATCTGATATTTGCCGACCAGTGTTTCAGCAACACCAGCAAAAAGTGTTTTCCTTTTGGCCGAAAATAGTTGATCATTTGGAAAGCTTCAAAAGGATTGTTTCTTCCGGATTATAATCCCCTACCAGTCATCTATTTCTGGGAGAACGTCGCTCTGATATCTGTAAAATTTCAGAAAAAATTCCATTCCACATCTTAGCATTAAGGAAAGCCCACACAAGATTGGGTATTTGTACAAATCTCGTTAGGAAATGTGCAGAAAACAACAGTGACAGGTCCTGTGCTTTGTCATCTTCTCAAAGAGGGTTGTGTCACTTCTAAAAAAGCCGCGGCTCATTGGTAAATTGTCTTGTACTTCTTATGAATGCCTCGGACGCTCTGAGGAGAGATCAGTTTGGCCGGACGGGGTGAATGAAAATGATACCGTGAGGATAAAATAATCGCTGTGAGGTCCTCAACCCCCACTGAAACATGTTTAGCTGTAATGCGACTGCCCTTGTTCACAAATGTAACGATAATATGAAAGATCCGGTAAACGACTGGGTTTTTTTGGACAGGTTCTTGAATCTTGAGGACACAAAGCGAAGCATTTGTTGGGGTTTAGAGTTGCTTATTCCAAAAAGTTTAATGTTTAAGAAAAATGCCGTGAGACCAAACATAAGTAATCTTACTTGGGAGATCTTCGCTAACAGAAAGATCACTACCTTCCAGTAATTTGTTTCCAAAGTAGTTTCTTTAGAGGGCCCATCCAGGTGTCGCCACCGATTCATGGGATCCATATTAGCGGATAAAACAAGCCTGGGGCAAACTATGGTACGAGAGCTTGCTGGTCTCGGTTTAATTGTCCATAGATATATCGGAGTCGGCGATGCTGGATGTTTTCCGCGATTAAAGTACCTACCGCACAACCAAATACCGCTTTCCAAGCACCTCGTTGCCAACACACTGACAGCATCTACTATGGAATGAAGTATATGTAAAACCAATGGCATTCGACCTAGAGAGCAAGCCTTTCTCTGTTTGCCCTAAAGATGAATAGCGGTTTCCTCTGATAGTTCCCATTAATCGATCGCGTAATTTTCGTTAGATCGCATATATTCAACCAGCCTTTCTCTCCATTGGTCTCCGTCTTACGCGGGCATATAGACAAGTATCTCACAGTGCACACATGTTTGTACACGATTATCCACTCCGTTTACATGATAATTTATCAACGGATACCGACATTGTGAAAACAAAGAGTTCTAAGGGTCATACAAAGATCGATCCAGACTGATGTAGCACGCAGCGGTTATTTTTCAGTCGTGATCAATATAAACATAATCAAATGGTAGTGCATTCATACCGGCTTAAAATAATGGAGGATATAGAGGAGACTAGTGGGCAAGTGCCAGGATACTTATCTTACGGCAATAGTTGATTTATTGTTCCTTTGACTCCATCAAAGCTCGTGGAGCAGTCGGAAATGACATCAGTAGCTAAACGAGAAATAGGCTGGAACTGCTAGGTGAACTCCTTTCAAAAGTTGCAGCAACAGTATGCCTGTTTATGATTGCCATTGCGGAAATAAAGACCCCTTTTGGTTGATATGACCGGGCTCCTTTTGCGATCTTTAAGGGGTGAACTCACGGCATTTTATTGATTATCCTCAAATTAAATGTCTAACACCCCCTCGAAAAACAAACTCAAGAGTGGGAGTCAGATGCACGTTTTGTAGTCGAACATATTTGAATTTCACAGCCAGTGGTTACAAGACTTCTGCAGTGTTTACCTTCCTGGAGCGACTGCTTTTATTCTGTTGCACATGCTGATGTACTAGTTGACTGACTAGTGTGCTGCCGATTGCCTAATCAACCAGCCACTGTTTAAAAAAAACCATTCGAGACTCGGATAGGAAAAAGTCCTCAACCAGCCATGTTTAAAAAAAACCATTCGAGACTCGGATAGGAAAAAGTCCTAGAGCGTGTCAGGATTGCAAAACAACCCGACGATCGACGGTGCATCTGAGACAAGATAATCTGCTGGCAGTAATTGTGCGACAATGAAGTTTAATGCAAACGATTTCAACCAACCGTTCATATAAAGTCGAATCTCAGGGCACGTATACCAAATTTAGTTACTTACGATTCTACGGCTGGCGGCCTAATGTCTTGCTTCCATCTTGCTGGATAACCGGCGAAGACCGCGAGGTGGATAACGCATGACTGGGCAGAAGAACGTGAAAGAGATTCCGAAGAGTTTGGGTTGTCAGTGTTGTACGGCTCCCAGAATGGGCTCCCCGTGACCCCATCTGTGCTTGACTGGAGACAATGCAAGAAATGGCGGCTAATCGATGTCATCGGCGTTCGTGCTGTCAGTTATTTCCAGACTGTCTGATTGAGCACTTGGCGGTGTAGGCACCTAAGAACGCTCGCCATAGGCCAGCACTAGTTCCCCCCTTCATCCACTCTTTCTCTTATTTTCACTCTAGGGTTATAGATATAAGTAGACGAACTTCATGGTTGTACGGCAGTAAAGCATCAGTGTCAACACTGATGATGTTGTCTTTGATGAAGATGATGATGCAATAAAAACTTGTTATGGTCATGCAGTCATCTATTACCTAGTGAACACCACTGGAAACACTTGGTACTCATTTCGAGAAGTATAATCAATGGGGAACACGTGTTGCAAAGTGCGAAACGTATGAATGAGCGGCGAATACCCTCCAATTTGTGCACAATGGGTTGATCGCTCAAAAGCATCCAAATGAGATTCCATCTGCCAAGAACATCCGGTAAATCCCGTTTCAGAAAACCCCACATGGGTATCAAGTATTTATAAGCGTGGTTCTATTTTGTCATCTCAGCCGGCTGAAGTAACCAATATGGGACGGGAACAAACCATGTTTTTGCAATTTTATACACGTCCCTTGTAAAAAAAATCCATCTAACCAGGTACTGACAGCTTACCCCTATTGTCCTGCTATCTGATCTATTTCGCTTTTTAGAATGCGGTTTATTTTCATCTGACTTTTTGAAAAACTCGGGAGATCTTTGGATGGGCAGGCATATTTCAATCGTATCCAGTTTTTTGTTGCACTAATGCTTTGTAACAATGTTTGTCAAGAGTCGTGCACACCTTTCAAGATACGGTGCGCTATTTCAACTCTGTCTCCGTCAAGCTGCCGAGAACAAAACGCAGTTTTGAAGAGGTGACAGTGCGTGACCACGACGCGTTGCATTTAGGACAATACACATTGCTTACGCAATGGCCTTCTTCTGACGCTAGATAAACGGTTGCAAGTAACACCCATCCTTTAAACCCAACTCATACCAAAGGCTCAACTATTTGGGAACAGTTTTCTGAAGCTGTGACAGATACATCAAGAGATACTAGAAGTTGGGTTATATGAAGTGCCGAATCTTGACATAGATGCTGCCTTACAGTCACTCAAGTAAGGCACCGAGAATAACGACAAATCAGAATCGTAAAACTTCTAGACGGAGCTAACTGTTCACGAGAAGCCAGAGATCGATGTTCGCAACATGTTACAGTAGAATAACCCTAATAGGGTTTGGAAATAGTATGAAAGCGTCTCAGTTCAGTGTTAGCCATCCATATAACAGGGTTTCCATGAAATCCACATCTGGCCACCACACTTATATTTTTGGGCAAAACATGACCCCAGAACTAATGGGGAGAACGTCCTGGGTTCTATTCAGCCTTTGAATTGATTTCGCCTCGGCTTGAGTAGCCTAGCAATACCTCATACCCCGTGTTTTTTCGGGTTGTCTAACAGCTGCGTACTGCAGGGTAAGGATATAATTGGCTTTAAAAAACGATGCCTTCTTCACACGCCACTAGGCTGAAATTTATTCTCTTGGATGTTCTTGAACACATTCAAACGGAAGCAGATAGAGTATGGGATGTTATTCTTCTACAAACAAATTGTTTTCAAACGATCTTGAACTCGTCAGTTTTTGGTAATGTCGCGCAGACGGACAGTCGGAACCATGTGTTTACCAATTTTTTCTTGAACGTACGAAATGTTCACTTCCGATCAAGGTGAAATATGGATAACACAAATTACTTACCAACATCTTTGTCCTGGAAGTTCTTGATCTCGTCCGCGACAGCCTGATGTTCGGACAAAACCGCTTGCTGATAAGCTGTGTGGCCGGCACGGTTGAGTAGCTTTCTATCTGCTCCGCGAAATAGGAGCAGCCTGGCGCATGCTTCTTGTCCCGTAAACGCACAAATATGCAATGGAGTATTTCCATTCTTGGAAGTTTGACTATTGATGTCGGCGCCGTAGGTAATTAATGTCTCCAAATGGAGAACACGACCAAATCGACAAGCCTGAATAGAATAACAAAACAGGAGTTTGTAAACTACGTTCGAATGTGCATGAAGTGACTGACGAAGCATCGTTAACAATACGCGGAAGTGATTCAGCTCTGAATGCATGATCATTGCGGTATCTCTCCATGAATATTAAATAGATTCGGTAAACCGTCAATCGATGATCGGAAATCACAACCCTAACGAAACACTTCGTGTGCCGCCCCCTTCCCAAAGTTTAGCCACATTCATAACTGGCCGTTTCTCAGGCTGATTTTTCGGAGCTTAATTGAGAAAGCCTGTGTAGACGATCATATCAGAAAATAGGACAGTCGAATTTAGTTTTTGTGTAGACAGATATAAAGTCACAGTCGAACACGAATATCAGACACTCTCATGTATCTTCGGGTTCTCCCAATGTTCTACCTGAATTCCAAACTATAGGTGTGACAGATCAAAACAAAACAATAAATCGTCCACATAATGAAATTCGACAGACTATCCTAATCGGTAAGTTTAGACTGGTGGTGATTCGAGTGAACTTTATGGTAGCTGATCACAAGGCTGAACACAGTCTTTACGAAAGCTTGGCTATTCAGCCTCACCAAGGCCTTGCATAATGGGATGGGCCAGGTTGCGGACGTTCCGAACTACATAAAACGGTTTCCTAATCAGCATTAGAGTAGAGAATAGTAGTTTCCTTGCCCCAACCCACTTCAGTCTCTTCTTAACAAATATTTGAGCGTGCCGTCGTTGTCAAAGTAGCATAACAGTTCGATAACGGTGTAAGGGTGATACTATTGATGGGGAGGCATGCCAGTAGTATGTGTTGTTCGTGGAATTTCTCTTTGCGTCTCTCGAAAAGAAGAGATCTGTTGCGGACTTTGTGGAGCCGCTTTGTAACATTTGCTTGGATTTGAGCATCAAATGACTGGAGTCAATGAATATCCAGGGAAGTTCAAGAAGTCGCCTTCAGGAGAAGGTGGATGTCCAGTGTTTGTAAATAAGATGCAAAAGAGAGTTTTGCTTCCCTGTCCAAAAGTCTGTAACCGGTCAGTTGACATTTTCTAATAAATAACTCCGCACCGAAGGGCTTCTTTCTTTCACCGGTAGGATAGCCATCTGCTCAACTCGAAGAGGTTTCTGGCAAAAACACTGGTGCTGCTGCTGCCTGAGTCCACTGCCGATATGCTGTCATTTGCAGTTGTCTGTATTATTTGGTATTCTGAAACAGAATTAGAGGGGTTAACTGCGGCGTCTGGTTCAGCGGCTTCTTCATTGGCTTAATTATAAATATTTGTTAAAGGATTGTCTTTCATCAGTGTCCATCGCGAATTCATCGTAAAACACTACGCACTCTACCAAATGGTTCTTAGCCAGTGTATTGACGGATGTAAAATTTCTCACAAGGAAATATATACACGGAGTGTAAAGGCCACCACGACACATGAATACCCTGAAAAACGCGTCTGCAGCGATGTACACCTGTGAATAAACATCCAGGATGGACCGTCCCGACCTAAAACTGCCACCTTGACGTGGCTGAAAAACGTGCAGCGATGTACACCTGTGAATAAACATCCAGGATGGACCGTCCCGACCTAAAACTGCCACCTTGACGTGGTGGTCGGGCGGGCTCATGTCCATATTTATGGAAGCAGCGATGCTGCCTTCCCCCGAGGAAGGACGGGTTAGAAAAGGTCGGCCCCAAAAAACGCACACTCCGATCGCCCAACGGTTGACCGTGACCGCCGGCGCATTATCCAATACGGTCGAAATACTTTT